CGAAACGCGGGAGATCCCGCGGCCACTTCCGCAATAATGCCACGGCGGACGCCCCGTCAGGTGCGGGCCCAGGTCGCCGGCGCGCCAGGTGGGCATTGGGGGCCGCGGGCGCGTCAGGTGAAGACTGGGGACCAGCGGGCGCGTCAGGAGGTACAGGGGTGCCGCGGGCGCGTCAGGTGAACACTGGGGACCAGCGGGCGCGTCAGGTGGGGACGGCTGGCCACGGGCGAGTCAGGTGAAGACCGGGGACGCCGGGCGCGTCAGGTGAAGACGTGGGGGTCGCGGGGGCGTCAGGTGGGGGCCGGGGACCGCGGGCGCGTCAGGTGGGGACGGGGTTGCCGCGGGCGCGGCAGGTGCGGACGTTGGACCGCGGGCGCGTCAGGTGGGGTCGGAGTTGCAGCGGGTGCGTCAGGTGCGGACGTTGGACCGCGCGGCGCGGCAGGTTGGGGTCGGGTGCAGCGGCGCGCGTCAAGGGGGACCAGTGACCGCGGGCGCGTCAGGTGGGGGTCTCGGGGGCGGGTGTGGAGGGTTCGGGGAGCCGCCACAGGTGCACCGCGTGCTCCTCAGCCGCTTCCTGCCCACCTTCTTGCCGCCCCTTCCGCCCCCACCCTCCTAGGCCCTTTGCGGGCCCGAGGTTGTGTCCGCCTCGCTGGGCAAGGTGTTTCGGGGACGACTCCTGCCCGTGTTTGCCCCTCCGGGCCCGGCCCTTGGCTCCTCGCCGGTGGACACCTGCCTGGGTGTGACCCTGCGTTTCTCCAGGCCACTCTGCCCCGTCTGCTGCTTACCTTAACTTACTCTTCTTTTTCCCTACTCCTGGTCTGTGGCTCTGGCTCTGTCTCCTCCCTTTAATTCTTTTCCATGCTTGTTTTTCTTGCAGCAGACACTAAGTTTGCTTCCTTCCCCCTACAGTAAGCTCAATTTGACCTTTTTCTCAATTAGATTCCACTTCTATCCTTGGGCCTATTCAAACTCATTTTGAAAACTAAAGAATCTAGAGAATAATTTCTTCCCTTATGAAGCTGTCTCTTGCTGCCTCCAAATCCTTAGCATCCGGCCCTAATCAGAAAAGACGTTTACTCTTTCATATTCTGTTTTCTCCTCGTCTTTACATGTTTTCCTTTCCCATGAGGAATCTGTGATTATCTCTGAGTCCTTCTTAGAGTAAATCTTATTTTTGACTCTCGGCCCTCAGTTTGCCATTTTTTTGATGTCCTTTCTGGATCAAATTTGTCCACACTTATAAGCAAAACAAATAGGGAATCACATGTGGTCTTTTGAAATGGACTGGAGTTTTCTTTCCTATCTTGTTTTCCTTGTTTTAGTGTCTTTATATTTAGATTCATCATTACTTGAGATCATATTAGTAATATGTAATAGACGGTTAAAAAATGTTAGAAAGCTTATAATTTAATGGCATCTGTTTTTATAGGGTTTTCAGGAGCTGCTATTATAAACATATAGTGGTTAGGAGCATGGATCCTGGAGTGAGACTCCATCAGTTTGAATCCCAGCTCTGCTAAACTCTTTGCCTCCGTGTCTTCGTCTATAAAAGAGGTAATTAAACTTGTAAAACAAGAATAATGTTTTCTACCTTGGAAGACAGTGTGAGGATTAAATGAGACAACATATGTAGATTGTTTAGAGTAATGTCTAGCCTACAGTAGGCTCTAATAAATGTTTGCCTTTATTATTGTTAAGAAAAAAATATGCTTGTTGAAGGAAATACCTTTTTTTGTTCTGAGTCTCTCATGACAAGAGTTTCCACCAGCAAATGAACTTCATAAAGTCCTTTTCTACTGAAGTACCTCACCCACATGTCCTACCACATGAAATAGAAATTAAGGGAAGATTTAAAATAGTTCATCATTGCAGGCTCTCTGAAATAAATTGGCATAAAATGTGCTTAAAATTTTCAAATTATACAAGCTACACCCTTTGAGTGCTTGCTCTTAAAAATTTAATAATTTTCAGGAGTAATTTCTAGTTTTTTTGTATTTGCAGATTCCCAAAACAAAGGTAATTTTAATTAAGTGTATAAAGCTCTAGCAATTCACATTATTTTTTAGCTGAACAAATACATTCCCATTAAAAGCAGTGGGTCGTCATCATTCTATAAAACTTTAGTAACATTGTTTTCTGATTTATAAACTCAGATGCCTCAGATTGGGAGTATTTTTGAAAATTTGAGATCCAGACCCCAGACCTTTTAAATTGCAACTTGTCTTTTTTTGGTTTTTTTTTGTTTTTTGTTTTTTTTTTAATCTGCATCCAGAGTTTGTGCTTTAGTTCATGAGCTGTATAGATTATGCTTTAAGATAAAACTTCATTGTGATCCAAAGAGCATACCATGACAAATCTGTGAGGTACACGTATCTTCAGAAAAACAAATCTTTTCCTCTGTGTTGAAAATAAAGAATTTGGGCATGGACTATTTTTTTATTTCTATGGCTGCATTTCACTCCTTTCAACCCTTACAAAATCAAACTTAGCAGCTGAGAAATTCAGACCAAACTATTCATTTCTCACTGAGTTGCTAAAATGAATTATCTGTAGAGTTTAGGTAGTTGTAAAAGAATTGGTTATAGTAATGGAAACACTAGGCAGGCTCTTTATGTAAATGTTTTAGAGATTGTGAAACTAGAAGATAAGTGTATTAAATGATAAGTGGGCGTAGTATCCCAACAAATAAGTACGATGTTTGTGTGTTACCAAGTTTTAAAATATTTTGTTAGCTGAGGATACCGGGATGTACATAGGAAGTCATCTAGATAAGGTTCTGTTGGCAAGATGTTTGTTGCCTAGTTGTTATTTTCTGTCTCCATGTTTTTCATTTGATCTATCCTACAAGCCCTAGAAAATTTTTATTCTCAAAACAACACTGCTCACTAATCTGTTGCTGAAAAACTTTTGATTACTTACAGAATAAGGTCTAAACACCTTTGATATTCTTTGATATTCTTCTATGATCTGGCTTCTAGTCATTTTTGCAGCTTATGTACCAGTCCTCCCGTAAACTTTCTCCATTTTATCCAATCTTTTCTGCTTATTTTTCTCAAATCGTGGCACACATTTTGACCTTTATACTTATTCACCCACCATTCCCATGATTGATATTTTTTGCCTTGCCTCTCCATTCATTTAAGATCTAACCATACTTTAGGGCGAAGATCAAGTCCTAGTTTCTCGTCAGAGCTTTCCCAACTGATTTGCTTTCTGCTCAAATTTAGTTTTTCTCTCTTTACCACAAGTTACAAGATTGTGGACATAATGTGTATGTATGTATACATGCACATGCACATATCTGCACATAAACATACTTTATTATATTACATTTGTATGGAATTTGTGTGTGTTTTGCTAGTGTTCTTTTTTAGTTCCTTAGCTAAATTGCACACTTTTGAGGGCAGGAATACCTAGCATAGTAACATTTAGTTGGTGCTCAAATGTTTGTCATTGAAGTAATCCTGTATTTGGTCTGTTAGCAATATTTTCCAGGATTATCCACTTGGTTTTTTTTAAACATAGATTTCTGAATCCACAGTTTCAAGCTGATATTGAGAGATAATAATTATCAGAGATGTTCTGGCAGCCATTTTCTCTTGTATGTGTTTTATGAGACTCAAGGTGCTACTTCAAACAGTTATCTGCTACTTCATGGTCTTTGCTGCCTTTGGTGGGAATGTTCTTGAAAATCATAAATGAGCTGTATGCTATTAGAGACGGTTTTAGATAACTCTAGGTTGACTGAACGTGGCCATTGAGTTTTGCATTTTAGGATGTTCAGTAGTTGTGAAGCAGATCTGTGAGACAGTTTATCAAAATCGTGCTGAAATTTAAGGAATATTTAAAGTATTTTCTAAAGCAAGAATTTAAATCATTATGTGACTGAAAAAGATATGTTTTGACTATAAGTGAGTTTAACAAGGTTTGAGATTTTCTTCATGTAAAGAATAATTACTTCATCATACATTTCCTACT